CCTTCGAAGGATAAGGCCAGAGAGCACCTTCGATGCCACAGCTAACAGGCTGATGCCACGGTGGTTTTCACATAGCGTCCGCGTACCCTTTTTGAAGATGGGGATAACCGTCTACATGCCCTATTCTGCAGGCACTTTCTCTTCGTCCCATATAGCATCAATAAGCTTTGTCAAGTGAGTCATCAGGGATTTCTCACCTTCTTTGAAGAGGGCTGGATACAGACCGTCCGGTCCTGGTGCCTTCTCACGTTTCAATACGCCTGTTTCGTACCTTATTTCTTCTTCTGAGGGGCGATCAAGATTTGCATTCCATTCGCCCGTATGCATTACCTCCACGGGGTGTTGCATGAGGCCAGCTGAACTGCTCTTCGAAGTATACAACTGTTCTATAACTTCTGTTTGAAGTGTACACGGGAGGGAGTTGAAGTCAGTCAAGTGGACTCATGTATTTTGCTTTCTATCTGATACAGAGCCGGGTCCCACAATTCTCGGATTCAGTGATGCGTGATATTTTTATTGGACCACTGCGAACAGGCATCTGTGTTTTTTCGTACATCCTCCAAACTTTACGGCTAATTCACTGGTAATTTACGAGAATGTCGAAAGGAGTATACGTCCCTAACCTAACACCATACATAAAAGGTAAAATCAAAACACCAGTATGGTATCGAACGTCGTTAATATTACTAACACATGGCATCGCCACTACGGGTTGAGGTCAGCCAATCATATAACACAAGAGTGTCGCTTTGCAGCTGACTAGCTGATGTGGCAAGGCCTTGCATGCAAGCTGTCATGGTTAGTTTCTCCGGTTCAACATACGCACCTACTCCGTAAACGTGAACAAGTGGCCCGTGGATTTTCTTTTGGCCCTTACAGAAGCTCTTAAGATGCCCGAACAACGTCTGGGACTAGTGCCATCAGTTCTGAGTGTCGAGGGATGACGTACCGAAGTGCCAGATTTGTTAAAATCTGGCGAGCCGGCTACTAGCATTGCATTGAACTATGCTACAAGTGAAAGCATCATTCTCTGTCATAAACAGTACAGACTGAAATAAAAAAACTTCCTCCAAAGCTATCTGAAAAGAGAAAAATCGGATTTTGACCAAGAAAAGGCTGTCCACAGTTTTAACGGGATCATTAGTTTTACTGTGAATTGATCAACATATCCTACCCTTGAAGGGTACTATAAGTCCGCCGACGGTCAAAAACGCATGCAGAGTTATAAAAAAGGATGTACAGATTCGCAGTAAGGGAGAACGACAACATCAGACGTTTCAAGGCATGAGGAGCTGGTCTGAAAAGTTCACGAATCTCTATAGTATAGGGCATTGGACTGCACATGGGAGTTTAATCTACCTATATGCCGGCCATAGAGAGCCACTTGGAGGCTCTTAAACAGACTTTTCAGAAGGGATAGGGGATGAGCAGATCGTCCGAATGGGAAAGTGTGGATCGTCCCGGAAGATGCCTTTCAGAAAGTACCTGATGGAGGGAGAGACTAAAGCTAATAGGCATGAGGCGTGAGAGTACAATGACGCTAACTGCGTGGTGACGCTGCTGGTCACTTGCTTTCACCAGGACTGGTCTATTTAACTGCGAAACCCAGGTCCGTTGAGAACAATCGCAAGGATGCCTGCCTGGGTATCGGAAGCAAAGCCCCAAGGGCCAGAGAATCAAAGTAACAAAATCCGACTGGTTTCACCGCTGTTTCAAAGAAGGGTTTAAAAAAGTACCAACACCTCCTAGGTTGGAATCTCAAGCTATCGCTCCTTACGGCCAGTGGTTTATGGCAGGCCCTACGTGATGTACGACCAGACCGAATTCCTCCCTTTCAATACTCCCACTTCACACAAAACACAGCCCAAGCTGCATGCACCGGTTAACGAAGAAACGATGGGGAGCTTCACTTCAAGTGGAAAGATTCACCTTAAAATAATTAGTTTTACTGTGAATTGATCAACATATCCTACCCTTGAAGGGTACAATAAGTCCGCCGACGGTAAAAAACGCATGCAGAGTTATAAAAAAGGATGTACAGATTCGCAGTAAGGGAGAACGACAACATCAGACGTTTCAAGGCATGAGGAGCTGGTCTGAAAAGTTCACGAATCTATATAGTATAGGGCATTGGACTGCACATGGGAGTTTAATCTACCTATATGCCGGCCATAGAGAGCCACTTGGAGGCTCTTAAACAGACTTTTCAGAAGGGATAGGGGATGAGCAGATCGTCCGAATGGGAAAGTGTGGATCGTCCCGGAAGATGCCTTTCAGAAAGTACCTGATGGAGGGAGAGACTAAAGCTAATAGGCATGAGGCGTGAGAGTACAATGACGCTAACTGCGTGGTGACGCTGCTGGTCACTTGCTTTCACCAGGACTGGTCTATTTAACTGCGAAACCCAGGTCCGTTGAGAACAATCGCAAGGATGCCTGCCTGGGTATCGGAAGCAAAGCCCCAAGGGCCAGAGAATCAAAGTAACAAAATCCGACTGGTTTCACCGCTGTTTCAAAGAAGGGTTTAAAAAAGTACCAACACCTCCTAGGTTGGAATCTCAAGCTATCGCTCCTTACGGCCAGTGGTTTATGGCAGGCCCTACGTGATGTACGACCAGACCGAATTCCTCCCTTTCAATACTCCCACTTCACACAAAACACAGCGGTGTTTGCACTACTCGGTTAACGAAGAAACGATGGGGAGCTTCACTTCAAGTGGAAAGATTCACCTTAAAATAATCTAAGCAACCTGCTGATGGCTAACCAACTGTCGCGAACATGGTTGCCTTACAGTACAAAACAATTTCGTGAAGCTATATTCCACTTTTGAATAGAAGTCCATCAGTCATCACCACGCATCATCGTTTAATAAATAATCGTTCCGCTCGTACAACCTCTCACTACCTGCCTGCAATGTCACCCGAGGGAAGCACGAGAGCTGAGATGCTGCCAGGTTGCCCAAGCCTAGACAGGGCTAATGGAGATTTCGGGGTTGGATTTGAACCATGGACGTTCCCGTAAGTTCACGCCTTGCCCACTGGGCTACCTCGATTAGCCTGAATGCCACTCTTAACTTCATGTTGAAAGTCATGGAACTCTGTGTGAAGAAATTTTCAGAGTGAATGAAGTTGTCTTTCATTGACTTTCATTAATTACAAACTCGATTGATTGTAGAAATCCTCGAGGAAGGTCTCCCTCGGCAACCGAAACGTCGGACAACAACAACCTATTCCACTACGCTGTTTTGACTTCATAATTGAAAAAATTCCAGATTATACACCACATAAGGCTCAATCTTTTGAACTCTTCGAGACGATTTCGGCCCGCAACTGCTTGTCCTCTTCTTACTCAGCACACCACGATCGAGTGGCACATATATGGAGAACTACGCAAAATTTCTTCCAAAAGATGAGCATGTAACTCGCTGTGCTTGAATTTTGTCCGAACAGCTCGAAACTTTCTGGTCATAATAAATACACTTTGCTAATCAACAGGGAAATATTACATTTTTAGACTGAACAGCGTCGACATACAGTCTCCTTCAAAAGTGCTACCCACGGTAGCCGAAGGGTTGAGCTTGACATCCTGCCCTACAACGCTGTCTCTTGGCTTTCCAGTTGGATTCCATATGTCACCCAAGCCTATCGCCAAAATCGATTCAGCTTATCTGAACAAATTTGTCACACAGAACCACCTAAGTCGCTTACACTTGACATTCGATGAAGATTCCCACCCGCGCTCATCCCGACCATCTAAAATAGTCCAAAGTTCAACTGATTAGCACAAGTGCACCCGCGCTCATCCCGACCATCTAGTCCAAAGTTCAACTGATTAGCACAAGTGATTTTCCACTCGACCATCAACCAAGACAACCCCATTGTCTAAATGGAGTGAACCCTGTTTCAGAAACCACCAGCTGACACTCGAGCAGTGCATGCGTCCTATCAGGAAGGCCTGCTTTCTGAAAGCAACCACTGGATGCCCGAAATCTACCGAGATTCTCAGCTGCGCTAGATGTTGGCCAGACAGACACCCCCTCAACATACAGCGCATCACAGCCTTGCATCAAACCCAGACAACGCGAGTCAGCGTTGATCAAGGTCAGACAACGACCCCGCAATATGCAGCACGTCACAGCCTCGTACCAAAGCCAGACCATGTGCGTCAGCATTGGACTAAGTTCAGACAGTGTTGTACTTTCGCACTCGCACGCACTCACGCTCTAGCACTCGCTTGTTCGGAATATAGCTGTTGTGTTCTCTTCTGTGAATCTTTTCTCTACGGCACTAGGCACTGGAGCGGGTCAGCAGCAGATACCTCAGATTGACGAACCAGCAGATACAACACGTCCTATGGCACTGATTGAAAAATGTTCTGTGGCCTTCAATGGACTAGCAGGTCGTGGGTTGTTTTGCTGACGTTACCTTTCTCCATACGTGAATTGGCTTATCAAGTGAAATGAAATTTGAAGGAGCGAGAGAAAACAAATAATTCGGAAAGCTTGCGAAAATACAAGCGATGACCACTGCCCCAACAGAACCTATTCGTTTCGAAGCAAGCCTTACAAGAAAACCCACTCATTCTGGTGCTACCTCGGGGGACAAAACTAAGTCACTGTAGCGTATATTCGTGCTCAGGGTTGGGGTCTACCGTTTCGTACAAATCAGGTGTCATCTAACCCACGTGATCCAATACAGAGAGGCAGTAACTCGGTGAACTGCTCAAATTGCCAATATCCATGTGTCGATAAAGCGAATTCCGGGAAGTACAGTATTGAGTATATGAGAAACTTTTCTCGCTCTTCCATGATAAACCAGGGACCGAGGCATTCATAGAATAAGATAGCATATCTGTTGAGGTGAGGAAGTTCTAACCCGTCAGCTAGGTCTACTGAGTCTGTGACGCCATATTATCAAATTTCAAGTTCACCAGCAACTCTATTCAGGCGTAAAATCAGTCATTGGTATTTAGTCTGTTCCTCGCGTTGGACACGGAATGTGGGATATCCAAGCATGTTAATCAGTTATGTCATGTGAGCCTAAGTACGTATCATAATGAAATACCGAAGTTCCTAGTGCGGATTGGCTCTGACGAACATAATCGGATACCCCTAACAAAATCCACAAGAAGTCGAATCTCTATATGGACTTCCATTTAATTCTTCAGGCCTAGTAGAAAGTAATGCAGTTGACTCGACTACGAAGGCGCTTATTTAAACTCGTCAAATTTGTCCTTGTGCGATTCTTCCCAAAATTTATGATAATAACAGCGAAGACAAAAGAAGTCCTATGTCATCACTCCTCTGAATGTAAGGAATGGGTGAAAACACACTGAAAAACAGTTCACAACCTCCGGGTTACAAAAATCACCACGTCATTCTTCCCTCTAAAGAGGTGATTTTCGGCATCCTTCAGTCACCAAATTGGCCAGGTTTTAGGGCAGACAGAACCAATCAATAAGACGGCTTCATATCAGCGCACTAGATCCGTGTTCAGTGTTAATTAACGGCTTTTGTCGACAAACCTGATTGTCAGAATCTTGCATTGATGGTTTGGGAGTTTCAGATTAGTTCCGATCGGGTCTGTTTTCTTCAAGGTGCTTTAACTGATGATTCACCGCGGGTGCCACTGGTGGATTTCGTTGGTCTTTCGGGGCTTGTGGGTGTTGCAATAATTTAGTTGGGAGAGGGAAGGTGGGTGAGGTCAAGTAGAATTCAGATGATGACCACTTCCGATAACCGCACACTATCACGTATCACCTCGGCTATTCAAAACGCTATCCACACCCTCTATTCTCTTAACACTGGGATAATTTGCGATTTCTATCGCCTCGGCCATCAGTTTGTGACGTGGACCGTAGTCCTTGCCTCCAAACCCCAACATTTTCTAAATCTACCTTGTGTTCTGTGACTAGTACATGTTCCGCAATTGCCGAGACTTTCAGTAACGCCTGATGTACATCTGCATTTCTTAGCGGCCTGTTTATTTTCCTTCTATGTTCCCCGATTCTGGTGTGAAGTTCGCTGACCGTCTGTCCTAAGTCGTTACACTTAAATTTTTAGACAGTCCCTGGATCTGTTTGCCAGGAGGCGATCCTTTAATTCTGTCAGTGCATAGCATTTCCCCTCTGGAAGACTTTTCTTATGTTGGTCGGCTAACAAAATTGGCACTCAACACTGATCTAGTGCGATAATACGAAGACGTCTTACCTTTTTTCATAAAGGAAACTACTCACGAAGTTGCTGAAAACTTTTCGACGTCTTACTGATTGGTTCTTTGTCTGCCTTAAAACCTGGCTAACTTGGTGATTTGCTCACCTGGTTTGATGAAACTTTTGTGTCAAAAGCGAAACGTTGCCCATACAAAAACTACCGATTGTTTACCAAGCCCTTCTGAAACTACTGAAACTTGGTTCGTCGGAGCCCTCCAAACTGCTCCTGATTGAAAACTGGCCAGCTCGTTTAGCTGGCTTTGGTTAAGTTTTGTCGTGCTTTTTTATGCTGTTTATCTTAGCTACCTTACATGACGGTGCGAGGTCGTCGCGATAATGGATGTGAAATAAGCAACGAGCTGAAACAGTTCGTCGAACGACTAGCTTTGTTTTGAGGAGTCCATTGGACCTCTCATTCAACAGATCTTCGACAGAACTCACGAATATGCTTCGTCCGCTGGTCTAGAGATCTCCATCTCCTATCACTATAAAGAAAGAAAGCGTTCAGCTGTAGCACCCTTCCGGTGCCTAGCTGCCATGCCACCCGAAGGAAGCACGAGGGCTGGGATACTGCTAGGTTGCCCAAGCCTAGACAGGGGAAGTCGAGTGGCGAAAGTCGGATTCGAACCACGGAACTTCCGGTCAGTGAATTCGCGCTCTAACCACTTGGGCCATCTCGCCCCCCCCCCTATCACTCTAATGAACCATCAGATGACACATAAGCCAACTCGGTAGCTTTAAGTATTCACGTCATTCATTCATTCAGTCGCAAATACTTCACAATCTGGTATCACCACCACCAGAGCACCGTGAACCCATGTACACCAGGTGTTATACCATGGTTAACCCTGTTGCGCCACCACGAGAAATCGAGGGAGGGCTTTGCGATGGCCTATTGTGCACGTAGTCATACCTAAAAACCAGTAAAATTTTGAAAACAAGTCTCCCGCCAGCGGAACGTGAATTCAAGTTCGGTGACGGAACCAGAAAATGCCATTCTGTATAGGATATGTTTCCACACACTACGTTGTTTGGATAATCACTAATTACAATATGTACACACTACTTATCGTCTCAAAACACTGATTGCTCAGTTCCCTGCTGAGACATCATGCAAATTTCTTTTCCGTCTTCTCACGCTGTCTTAGTAGATCATGCTGCCACTCCTTCAATCTTGACCACCGTCTCTCTTTGCGGCTTCTCGGGGCCAGCCAAGACTTGTGCAGGATTTCCTCAGACCGTTTGAAGTAGGTCAAGCGTTCTTCTTCGTCCACTAGATCACGCAGTGACTTTTTGGTCACTTCGATAACTGCACGTTGGCGAGCAGAAACCAGGTGATCAGTCCAAATGCGGTTGCGTTCGTCTTCAAATCGGTTATACAGCTGTTCCACCACGGCTGTTTCTGCACGCATACAGTCCACATTACCCAAGACCTCTTTCTGTATGAAGTCCTCGCAACGAGAAAAGAAGTCGTCAGCAACCACTTGTGCACACAATTCACGGAGCCTCTGAAAAAGGATAGACAAATTTGGTGTCTTGCAGTGAAAAAGGCGCCAAAAAACATAACGCAAATACCAAAAAATTAACATGACATAAAGCAGATCAATATTCTTTAACGATAGTGCGTACTAAAATCCGAACCCATATGTACCCGTCTATGAATTAAATATTTCTCATGACGGCCTTACTGAGGGTAGCAAACACAACAGATTCGAACTCCATCTAGCAACCAGCTTTTTGATGGAATGATATTATTGTGACAGACCCTCATTCTGCTTCCTGATCTGATTACAAGCGTACAAACGAAGATATGGTGCATTAACAGATGTAGGAAACCCAAGTTGTCGCGGTCCCTCATCATCGCTAACTGATAGTGGAACACTGCTAAATACTCTTCAATTAGGAAAGCAGGAATAAATTAGTGCCTGGTAATGACCACCGCTAGTGTTTCTCAATTCCGAAATCCCCTGTTTGATAACCTGACGAAAAAGACAGCAACATCTATGCCCCCTCCGAAAAAAGTGGGGACTGAGAAATCAGGAAGCGAAACACTGATTCAGAACGAAACAGGAAGTGAAAACTGCGTAACAAGAGACGCGTGAACCATAAGGAGATGACTGTGCGGAAAAGGCTGCAAAAAGTAAAAAGCAAAGAAAAGTAAAAAAGAAACATCGTTGGTCTTCTCTTAAGGAGGTCGTTACCCAAACAAATTGTCTAGCGATGAAATCTTGAAGTTTTTCTATACCAGACTAAGCATCCACTCACTATTGCCATCTCCATTAGATTTGTCGCGTACTTAGAAAGCCGAACGCAAGAGCGTACCAGAAAATATCAAGCATGGCAATCTTGTATGAAACAGCTCAAACCGGTACTGATTTGCAGGTTCGGATGGTTGATAGTACGAAACTTTATGGCCTGGTTCAATCCTCTCCAGAAGTCTACAGCAAACCACTCAACCTCCATAGGGTAAGAAGTCATCGTTTGACTGGCAGCAGGTAACGACTTGGTGAATCCCAATCGTCTACCATCAACATCACTATTGATGGCACAACGTAAGCGTTGAATATTAATGCGTTTCTGCCGTATGACAAATAGTTACCTGAAGCCCTAAGGGTCAAAGAAGAACGAAATTGGATGCTGCTACAGTACAGTGACTCTAATATGCCCACGTCCCCAGACAGTCATCCAATGTAGACAGTAACGAGAACACTAAAGGCCGTATCCTGTAGCGTTTCCAAACGTGTGCCTGGGATTATCCCAATCCCATTCTGCGAGACGAGTTCCACTGGCAGTACCTCGACTTTTCATGATCACTCTTATACCCCCATTCCAGGTCAGAGGTTGGCAACCCCTCTGCTTGCGTTTCAGCACAAAACAGTGTGTTTCTCGGTAGGCGATGATTCGTCATAAGGAATATATGACTAAATCACCACCACGTCTGATGTTGGGCACAGTCCTCGAGCGAAATCTCTGTTATACAACCGAACACTCGTTTTCTAGTTGTCTCGCTGTGGTTTCACTGGCACCAGACTGCATGAGCTATGGTCCTGAAACAGTTATCGAATACTTGAAGACTTCTCAGTTCTGCTGATTGCAGGGTTCGTGTCTCACGACCGTACAGTAAAACAGCCTCTACTGTAGCCTTATACACATCACTTGGGAATGCGAGACTTAGCACCACAAGTGTAAAATTAGTAAAAGGAGAGAATTTATCATTTGGTACAGGTGTTTTTGGATAATTTGAACGAAGTCATCTCGTCTTCTATCATGCAGTGTAAGGTCAGGACCCCGACACGCAGTCACTGAACACACCACGTACGATCCAAAGAGAGATACTAAAGAGTGCGGAGGGTAGTACGTATTTTGGAAACTGTAAAAGCTACGACTGTAGCGTGACAGATGTGGGCAATGCGCAGATACCTAAGGTTGGGGTCATCCATAGGTTTTAACGGGTAGGTATTCGAGACCAGTTTATCCTGCAGCCCAACTCAACTGTCCAACAGGTGAACTTTCAGTTTCAAAAAACAAAAATTGGGAGGTGAACTTCAAGTTCAAAAAACAAAAATTGGGGTGAAATAACACAAAAGCAGTCGGGATAATATTTTTGGGACGAAGGTGAGGGTGCAAGCCCAACTACTGCTCAGAAATGATGACTAGCAAGACAATATGTCAAAGATAAAAATGTAACGGAGATCTGTTAGACTGCCACAGAGAAAATCTATACAAACTCGCGAATCAGGACTACTCCCATCATCTCACATTAACCAAAAATACAAAAGAACAAAGCAAAACATCAGAAAAATCAACACAAGACAAGCTACTCGTCAACCGAATATGAAAAATTGAGTGCCTTGGCATAGCTAAGTACTGTTTACCTTCACTTGTTCAACAGCAAGATCGACTTCCGTAGCAGTGGGAAGGACTGGTTCTCCACGAGAGGGTGCTGCAGTTTCCGGCCTTGTCTGGCAAGATTCCACGGCTTGAATAAGTTTATCCAGCTTCGGATAAAGAAGAGCATGGCACCAGACGTTAAAAGCAAATATCATGAATGTAGGGATCGTATCCAACTGCCATGCCACCAGAAGGAAGCAAGAAAGCCGAGATATCGTCAAGTTGCCCAAGCCTAGACAAGGGAAGTCGAGGGGCGGAGGTAGGTTCGACCCACGGGCCTCCCGGTCAGTAGATTCGCGCTGTAACCGCTGAGCCACCTCACTCCCATATGACGTGTCACACAACGGAAAGGCATGTGTTTTCTCAATAAAGATATGGCGGAACACCGAAAGACTCAGACACATGAGCACTTTCATGCCTATTGGGATGCCTCAGGCAGTCATACGGGGATGGGTGTAAAAATGTTTTCGAATTATTCAGACTATTGATGGACGAATGATCATCGGTCCCTGTGAAGAACCAGCCGAGTATTCGGATGAATAATCATAACTGTTCTCTAGCCATAAGATAACTGTCCCAATAAGTTAATAGCTGTTAGACACCGAAAGTCATAACTACTTGAATTCAAAACTGATATGCAGACTGATGTTCCTGCTAATCAACGCAATACATGTTCGAGCCCTTCAAGCTCACGTAATGAGGTCCAATAAAGACTAAAGCGCTAAAGATGAATATGCTGAAAATATCTTCAGTTTATTCTATGAATTCACCAAAGGAGCCTGGATTTATACACTTGTAAAAAAGGGGCCTAAACTAGGTGTTCGAATTTTACACAACGGCAACAAAAGGCCAACATCCTGTGTTGGTGCCGCACTCCATAACTTGGGCAATACTTAAACGATAACCCAGGGAAATAGCAAATCTAAACCAAGTTGCGAAATTAACCCACTAGAGTGGCTTCCTGAAAGGGGATGAGATTTGACATTTCTATTGATTCTCTCTGAATGAAAGACAACCAGAGATTCGTAATGCACTGAAAACACCACATACGAGTGAGTCTCTCGCAAATAAGTGTATTTCGCCGACAGCCAGAGATTAATTTTCCATATGTTTTGTATACTCATGAGTAGCGTGATCTATTCATGTCCCTGCCGATCGTCCCCAAATTTCCGTTCCAGCTTAACGTTTACTTGCTCTGTTGATGACGCCACAAAGATTCCGGTCATCGGTCTATTTCCGCCTACAAGTTCGTGTCTACTCTGGAGACCTATGGGTGGAACTCAGAGCCTTGGACAGTAGCCGAGACGGGCTCCCCGGTAGCCATTTCGCAATACTTTCGTATTCCGTTCGCTGGGTTTCCTTTTAAACGCGCCTAAGCGCGCATTTTAATTTAATCTGCTACACGTGCTACTTTGTCACTCTGTTAGATAAAGAGCGCTGGTATAAGTATTTTCGTGCTTAACACCCGATACCTGCTATTCAGGTGGTTTGCGTTTATTTTTTTTGTACGAAGCCCTTTCTCAAACGTACTGACTGCCTTCCGCGCCGCTAATTCTCTGTACTGTTTATTTAAACTATCTGATTTCTTATGTCCGCACGTTTGTATCGCGATTGGAAGTGAATCGTTACTGCTTCCAGAAAGTTCTGTTGTATCACTGCCCTTTTGCGTTGCTTCTGATTGAGATCTTGTTGATCGTACGTCCTGTTTACTTCAAACTGTTAATCAGAACCAGTAGTAAACACACTGTCCACTGTCTTCATCCGTCTAACCTCAGTGCGTGCTACTTACTGAATACCAGTTGCCTAAAGTCCGATAGCTTCTGTAGGATACTAAACTCCCGGACCATAAACTCACCTTGAAATGGCCTCCCTCATGGAAAATGACTGATGGGAAACGCTTTTCAGAAGTGTCGCTGGAGCGCCACGTGCTGTCGAAGCTACGAGCCTAGCGAGCAAGGTTAATGTGAATTGCTTGTACATTCGTAAGCACGAAAAGAACAAATATCTACGTCTAGCCGAAGAATCCTCGGGGTTACAGGGCCACTCGTTTACCTGAAGCAACCCAAAAAGCCGACGGAACTATTTCTCTCCCTTGAAATGCTATGAAGGAAGGCTCATGCGCTTTCCAAATTGAAATGCGACCCATAGGTGCAGATGACGTCCACCGTTGTGCTATGCCTAAAGTCGTTGCCGAAGCAACGGTGTACCTAGTTGGTGGCAACAACCTAGCCCAAGAGGCCTTGTACGGTGGTGTATTGGAGCCTGTTGACTGCTCCCGAGCTAGCTTGTTCTGTTACATCGTTTGAGGAAGCTGCCCACTGCCTATGCAAGGTTGGTGTAGTTGGGGGGGGGGCAGACAGGTGTGAAGAAACATGCGATTAATCCGTTCTTATATGATTCTGTTTCCCCGGAAGGAAGCCGAGAGGTAACCAATGGCTGAATAGATCCAACGATAGCATAACCAACCGAGACCGGTGGGACATGAAATATATTGTTGTTCCAGTTATTATATGAATCTGTTAATTTGTCAACCGCATAAGGCTCAAGCAACTACGAGCAGCAGCAGTTTTGCTTTCACTTCACATATCATAGATTTTTCCGTTCGGCGAAAAATTGTTGTCCAGTCCTAGAATAAATTTTACTCAATATTTTCACAAAGGAAACTACTCACAAGGTTGCTGAAAACTCTTCGCCAGTCCATGACCGGTTTCGCCCTTATTCGGGCTCATCAGGTAAACACAGTGCCTGAGTTTCCGTCAACCTTATGTTCTAGTTGAACCAATATTGTTTAAAACCTCATCCAATCTGTACGGACCTGTGCAGCACTATCACGTACAACATTTCTGTATAGGAACTTGCCAACGAAGCTTCAATTTTCTTGCTTAAAACACACACACCATGGCAAAAAAAGCAAGCAACCTAATCTAATAATCCTTTTGCTCTAGATATACAGTATATTTACAACTAACAGCTCTCAAATAGAGCAAGAAGATGACAAAAAAATCAAGTCGCATGATCGCTACGTGTGACGGCAAACCAAAGAACCTGATTCATAACAATAGAGAAACAACTAGGGGCCGTTTGAAAATGCTCCGCAGAAATTCGATAAAACAAAATTAATTCTGCTGAAGTTTCATTCAAACCTAATCGAAAAAGACAGCCAAGAGGGATCACTAAAGAGTGATTCACTGAAGGTCACAAAATAGAACGTTCCCTAGAGCGGAAGTCGATCAAATCAGCCAAAAAGAGAGGTCAGTCGTGAACCCTTGAAGCACAAACGAATTTTAAGGTGAATTTCGGCTTATACCAAAATCGAGCGACAAGATATCACTGTACTCAGAACGAGCCGAACTCACCACCATCGCACTCAGTCCAGCTATTTGAAGTTGCTCAGCAGTTTGAAACTTTTCCAATTCCTGCTTTAACTGATCCAACTGTTCGGCATAGGCGTGACCAAATAACTTGAGTGCCTGATGCAGCGTTGGTGCCAACGATCGCGCTGAATCGGATGTGAGTCTAATCGATTTCAAACGGTTAGAGAATAAGTCGGACAAGTGGATTAAAGTAAATCCCAGTTTCAGACGTGGACGTTGAACGTCGAAAAAGTTGTCGTAGCTTGGATTGCGAATGAACCTGACAAACTTGTATTCAACCTAAAAGAGCGGAACGATGGAAGGAATAGAAGAATAAAATATTGAGATGACAGTCTGAAACAGACTGGAAACCTTAGAAAAGCAAAAGGGTCGGAGTTGCATGGACGTAGTTATACATGTAGTTGGTCCTCAATGATAGGTTATACTAAAACAGTATTAAGAGATGTGCAGTGGAATGTCTGTGAGAAACGAGTGGACAAACAGTTCTGGGTAACGATTACATATTAAAGATGCTCAACGATACACTGTGCCATGCATTAAAGATGAGAATAAATACTACCATGCAGGTAACTCTCACAACAATACTTCTGAGTTTTTGCCAACATATACAACTGACTGATCGTACAGGGTACAGATTCCCCGCCTTGATATGAAGTACATTCGAAAATCCGTGAAACCGAAGTCCAAGTTACGTCAACTAGACGATGTCAACGCCAGGCAAGTTGTAAAGTTATGCAGGAGGATCACAGGCACTATCTGGCTTCGACAGCTGGTACTTCAGGTAGATGAATTACGAGCCATATTTAAATTTTGATGCCCAACAGTCCCTTCAGTGATCATCTAGTACAGCAAGCGTCCAGTAAGTGAGGAGACGTTGGCTCGTGTCCACCAGAAGGCGTATATTTATAAGTTCACATTATGTGTATCTAGGCTTGTCACTGAAAAAGCTTCCAGGCCTGTCGAGGTCAGGGTTAGACGATGCTGTCCACTGTCCTTGTGAATGCAGCTTATCGATGTGGGCCATAGTTTAACCGTCGTGACGTCAACGATTCAACCGTACAGCGTAGGCTTTCGTATGGCTTATTCGAAAATTCTCATTCAGTTGAATGCATGTTGCGAGAATTGGGCACAGATTAGAGAATCAGATAATAGTCCTCACAATTAGCAGCACACAAAAACGCAGTAACTAGCAGGGGTCATTAAAAACAGAACGCTTGTGTCCGACTGAAATCATGACTAAAAGGCCCGCTGACCAATGAGGTTGAAAGCAGATATCTGCAGCTCTCTATACTACTAACTTATTAGATGCTGTTAAACAAACTGGAGGCCTGTCCGACATGTTGCTATCAAATAAAAACTCGGTTACGCGGTGATTATTGCGCAGTTCAAGAACAAACAGCGGACTTTTTTCTTCTTTCTTCATAAAAAGCATTTCCAACGGAAGCCGGACAGCAAGCCACTCTTGCCTGGACATCCAGCATCTCTGCCTGACTGGATGCCCATTGATACTCACCTGCACGCAGTTAGTTTGTCAATATCTGTAAAAGAATCCTGAAAACGCGCTTGGAATCGCTGACCAATCAAGTTAGCTGTGTATCCCCTGACAAACTGTAGTCAGATATGGGTTTTACGATGTTTCGAAAGCGTTACAGTTGGGCTAACAGATAAGGCATTGTTGTGGTTACCTGGGGTTTGAACATGCAATTAGGTGAAATAAACGCGATTAAGGATCAATCGGGTGGTCGTATTGGACCAGAATCGATAAGCATGTATAGTGATAAAGCCCGCCATATTCAGGTACTCATCACAGACCGTACCTGCGCAGCATCAACTTCTAGTACAATCGAAACCGTTCGGCCGTGTGGTGCCTCCCACATTCAAGCCAACCTTAAACACAAACAGGTTACATCACAATCAAGTGAGATTTCGTTCTTTAGGTGAAACCAATCTATGTGGAAAAGCCGAGAAGCACCGTATCTCTGCTTCAGTCTTATTAGAAACTCCGGGGAGTTCCGGACTACGACCTTCCGACTGTTCGCCTACGAGTGGCTGGTCAGCATTGTGATTAACTCGTATCACTAATGAGACGATATCTAAATTGAAAGTTACGGAATCTTCTGACGCTATCAATCTATAAGTAGATAAGAGGAAGAATGAATGAAGCATCCATCTGAGAATTCGTCACTAGAGACGCCAATCAAAATGTGACCACGTCATGTGAATCCCGTGATTGAAGGATGAGGGGGGGTAATCACAGTGCTGACCAGGGGCTAGTGGCTGAACAGTTAAATGGTCAAACTACTGGCTGAGAGGTCGAGGGTTCAAAAGGCTCTGAGGTTGTGTGAGAGGCGTAATGCCAATGATGCACAATAAGGGTGAAACAGCTGCAGTGAATCCCGTGAAGGATGAGGGGGGGTAATCACAGTGCTGACCAGGGGCTAGTGGCTGAACAGTTAAATGGTCAAACTACTGGCTGAGAGGTCGAGGGTTCAAAAGGCTCTGAGGTTGTGTGAGAGGCGTAATGCCAATGATGCACAATAAGGGTGAAACAGCTGCACAGTGTTTCTTCGCTTTTCAGCGTAGACTGGATTCACCTACAGAACAAAACCTTAATCGAAAATTACCGCGAGACCGAATGGGGCGAATCAACAGCAGCGCCTATTTTCAAAAACTGCACCAGTAGTGAGTATAGTAATCACAAAGGCCCTAACTTGACGTTCGTTGCAACAAGCCTAATCGTACACCTTATTTTACGTCGTCCCATGAGAACGCAGGAAGACGGGACCCGATGACAACGACAAGAATTATGACAGGAAACGGTTGCGTGGGCCATATTTTAACGCTCAAATGCCACAGGAACCACGTGTGTATAGATCGCCTTGACTTTAAAGGTATGTTCGATTCAGTCGAGCGATTCGTTTCTCTCGACACTTTGGTGGAACATGAGATGTTACAGAAATTCGAGAATATCATACGCTTTTTGTATTCACATACTTGTGAACACGTGAAAATATACGAGAATCACCCTCTACAAACTACAAGTCTCAAACTCAACATCAAACGTCGGGCCTGGTTTGCGATAACGACAGTCCACAGCACTCACCGTCAGCTGGGTGCACTCAAAAGACTAGAGTGAACAACTGGTTTATTTTTGGGTTAAACACTCCACCATAATAGTACTGCGCAATGGTGCCAATAAATTATAGGAGAGAAGCAGACCAACATTACGGCTTGTGATAACAGTGGGCTGAATCAGAGCTACTGTGTAATGTACACGAACCACGAGTGCGGGTTGCTACGTCTATTCGACATGACAACAATGAGTCAGATTGTGAATTAAAAAAACAGGGAAAGTCTGGCCAGACGACCTATGCGTGTATGTGCATGACACGTCCAGACTAAATGTGCAAATAGCGAGGATGGATCAGGAGCGATCGATCAATGCGGACTCGATATACGAGGTGTAGTAAAGTGACCACCAATATTGTGATACACCCTACAACCCGCTAGTTCAAACTTTTCCAAGGTTCAGGAAATGTCCTTCTTAGAAGGGGGTTTCACACATTTTTCACTGAATTTCGGCTGCGGATCACGTCAACAAAGGACGTGAACTTGAATGACATGGAGATGCCGGAGGGGGTATGGACGGTAAGCAGGACTCCTACAATCAGGTCTTGCGGAATCTACCTACTGTACCTCAGACAAGTAGTCGTGTAATTCTAAGCATATTATCTGTATGATTTAATCAGGTGGACGCTCTTCGATTTTACTACCGAATGTGAGCAACAGTGTGAGTTATCTTAGTGTCCTCCAACGGAAAACATTAATAAGACGAGTGCGTCACACTCAGAATAGATAGTA